TTTTTTTTGAGAATAATCGGAGGAGCAGACTGGTAAATTCTGACAAGATTGGGAACAAATGAATTTGCATGTCCGGGTGGACAGCACCCTCCAACCACCCCCCCCCTCCTACGGTACTGTATTTATAATTAACACTTAGATCTATTTAATAAAACCTACCAGACATAAATATATTTTTACTTTAACAAAAAAAAAAAAAAACTAAAAACAATTGATTGAAAAAATTTAAAAAAAAATATATTTGACTATATATATTTTCTAAACAAAAAAATTTGTAAACTCATTTTCATACAGATGCAGTAATTTTAGTACATAACAGATCATGTATGCTAAACGCCGGTTCGTGGACCGAATCCGGCCCACCCTGAAAATGAATGAAATATAGGTGTACCAAAACCTGCCGCGATCTATAAATATTATTTTGTTCATTCCTTGGTCTCGGGTTATATAAACTTGATATTGAAAACTTCTACTACACGCAGTTTGCCCTAAACATCCTTCGTTTATGGTTTTGTTCGTAATGCGCCAAACCACTAAAAAAAATGCACTAGTTGCGCAAAGGATGCGATCCTATATGTGTGGGAAGTCGTTTTGACATATGAAAGGCATCGAATACGTATGTTTTATTGATAGGAAATTTTTAAAATATTTTCAAAATAAAATTTTATAATTAGTCTAATACGATTAAAAAGATACTATTAAAAATCATAATTTATTTTCTATAACTTATACTAAAACGTAAAACTGTGATGTATGTTATTTATAAGCGAATGTACGTATAATGAACGGGTTTTTTTTTTTTTTTAAATATAGAGAGCTACTTTTACAAAAATTACTGTCTTTAAATTACTTTTTTAAAATTTAAATATCCTATTTGACTATTTATGATGTCTCCATGACTGCCCATCATCTGCCCATAAGATCTCCACGACTACCCATAATGTCTCCATGACTGCCCATAATGTTTCCATGACTACCCATGATGTCTCCATGATTACCCATAATGTCTCCATGACTGCCCCTGATGTCTCCAAGACTACCCATGATGTCTCCATGACTACCCATAATGTCTCCATGACTGCCCCTGATGTCTCCATGACTGCCCTAGATGTCTCCTTGACTACCCATGATGTCTCCATGACCACGCATGATACGTGTCTCCCAGTTTCATCAGAACCGGCTTTCACAAAAAGTGACTTAACCATGTTGACTCAGTAGCGTCACCACGAGGATGCACCAGGTGATAGCCACCCTTGTGTCGCCTCTGCATTGACCGTAACGGATTCCTGAATATCACCGACTCTTGTTTCAACTGCCCATGACATATCGCATGCTATCATTAAACTGTACCACAGTGATTCCCGGCCGGCGATGCTCCCATGGGGGTGCAAGATTATGGCATTCGTGGTGGGGGTTGGGGGCGAGGAAAGGTCATTACAAGAACAGAGAAGCCATTGAATGA